AGAGCGCAGCGCTGTATCAGCATAGCATAGCATAGCATAACCAAGCATAGCATAGCATAGCATAGCGCAGCATAGCATAGCATATCATATTGTAGCATAGCATAGCATATCATAGCATAGCATAGCCTAGCGCAGCTTAGCATAGCATATCATAGCATAGCTTAGCATAGCACAGCGCAGCATGACATAGCATATCTTAGCATATCATAGCATACCATAGCATATCATAGCATAGCATAGCGCAGCATACCATAGCATATCATACCATAGCATAGCATAGCGCAGCATACATGGCATAGCATAGCATAGCATAGCATAGCATAACCACTAATGCTGCTTCCTAGGGGCTCAAACTTCTAGGTAGGGTCGCACTGGGGTGATAATTAGAAGGAGGCTGCTTTTTAGAAGGTGCCCAGCGCCTTCTAAGAAGCAGCCTCCTTCGAAAGGCCTTCCCCTCGCAACAGTTCGGACGGCAGTTCGTCCAGGCCCAGCGGGGCTTGGCTGCCGCTCAGGCCCACCTCACACTGGCGGGAGGCACCGCGGGTCGAACAGGGGTGGAGAAGAACAGCGTCCCCCGCGGCGCGGATCGGAGGGCACCAACTATACACCAACACCGATCCTGGCCCAGGATCACCCTGGGCCAGGATCGGTGTTGGTGTATAGTTGGTGCCTTCCTAGCGGACGAAATGTTGCCCCCGACCGAAAGCAAGAACGGGTCGGTGGCGACCAGGGCGTGGCGCGCCACGCCAGCACACAACCGAGCAGAGGGCGCCAGCTTCCAGCGCGCTTCGGCTTGTGCGCCTCGGCACCTCGGTGAGCTGTGGCGCCGCCCCGGGGGCATCCCCGGCAGCGGCCCCAGGGCAGAGGCCGCGGAGCAGCTGCCACCTGTTCTCGCAGCACGCCCGAGAGTGGGAAGGCTGGCACCGTCCGGTGCGTCAGCGGTGGGCTTCGAGGTGCGCCGGGAGGCTTTCCTGGAAAGAGACCCCGAGAGAGGCGGTCGGACGGAAGGCCTGTTGCAGGCCGCTCCAGGGCGGTTGAACTCGCTGGAGCCTGCCCAGCAGAGGGCGCTAGACTGCTCTTGGATGGTACAAAGGGTTTGCGCACGGCTTGTGGCACGCTGTTGCAGCGCCGTGATGCTAGCTATGAGAACCGTGTCCTGCTCCCGATCTGACTGTTTCCTGGTTACCTGGCAGCCATGAGATGTTGCGCGAGGGTGTGCTTGTGATCCGAGCGCTGCAATGGCGTCCCTCTGGCGCCTGCACCCTCTCGGGTGGTAGCAGGTCGCCAGCCCCGCACCCTGGCCTGGTGGGAGGGCGAAGCGACGCCTGTGCTGTCGTCGTCGGCGTCGTGACCGTTGCCATCGTCACCTCCTGATGGGGTAGCAGTGGTTTTGTCATCGTTGTCCAAGGCCGCACCTAGTTCCAGTGGGTCTTCGCCTTCTCTTTCGAAGTCGTCGGATGGGGCTCCCCATGGGTCGTCGAGATCGTCGAAGTTCCTCCCTGGTGGGTCTTGCGATTGCGAGGGGTCGCCAGGTGAGCCTGGTGGCTCATCACTTCTTCGCCCTGCGGTGAGCAGGTTGGGCTTCATCTTGCTGAGTTCAGCCCTATAGTAACCCGCTCGTCTGTCTGTCAAGGGCAAAGTGTGGTGGCGGCGGTCATAGATCGCGACAGCGATGCTGAAGAGAACCGCCGCGTGCCGCCACTTGGTTCCGTCGATCACATCTTGCTACAGGCAGTGCAAACGTGCCCCAGCAGTGGCGAATTCATCGGCTTGGCGGTTGAAAGCCTCTGCGATCGGCGTGACTCGGCCTTCATTCATGCCTTGCTCGCCGAGGTGGCCTGCGATTTTCTGGACCTTGAACTTGCTGGGTTTGGCTTGCAGCACGCGACACTTTTGGGCCAGGGATCGGCTTGACCTCCCGCGACTTCTGATGGTTTTCCTTGGGGGAGGCCTCGAAGCCGTCGACCACGGTTTGGTCGTCCACGTGGACAGGCCGCTCAGCCGTAGACACCAGGTGGAGCAAGGCAAGGGCCACAGAGGCGAGGGGAGAGAGGACAGAGGGGGGATGGGAGGAGGAAGAGGAGGGAGAGGAGGAGGGGGGAGAGGACGGGGGGAGGGGGGGGGGGGAGGGGGGAGAGGAGGCAGAGGATGGGGAGGGGGGGGAGATCAACATTGACTATGACTGGCGGCTGCCGTGCTAGGGCGTGGCACCTCGTGCACGCGGACAGGACTGGATGTGTTTCGAGCGCGAGCGCAGGCACGATGGCCCAACGGCCACACGGAAGCCCAGCGGCAAATGGAAACAAAAACGACCCGAGCGAGGCGCACGCCACGCTGCAGGAGGGACGCAAGCGTATAAGCACACCTTTGCGCCTTTGCGTCGCAGTTCGCGGCAGGGGCAGACCGCGCGCGCGTCCAGGCAGGGCAGGGCCACGGTAGTGCAGATGGCCCCGCACGTAAGAGGGGAGGCGAAGACGGCGAAGGGCGGCCGAAGAGAACCGGAAGCGAAAGAAAGGGGGAGGCCCACTCCCGCGGCGAGGCCGCAGCGCGACGCGCGGGGCGGCCGGGCCAGGAGGCAGCCCCTGGCAGCGGGCGCGGGGCGGCATCGCAGGCGCAGCCAGGGGAGGGGCCAGCAGCTGCAGCGCAGGGCGCGGCACAGAAAAGGCGGGAGGAGCCGCAGCTGCAGGGCCGACAGAGGCCCCACCCTGCCAGAGCGGGGGGCGGTGCAGCGGCTGTGGAGGCTGCGCCGAAGCTGCTGCGGCGGACTGGGCGCCGGGTGGCACGGCGGGGCTAGCGACGCAGCGCTGCAAAGGCGGAGCGACCCGCGCTGCGAGACGCGCTGCTCCCTGCCCCACCCAGGCCTCTTCGCCTCCTCCTAAGGAGGAGGCGAAGAGGCCAGGCGAAACCAGTCGGCCGGAGAGAGCCGCGGGACCCAGGCGGCCGGAGAGCGGCGCGTGGGAGCCACACAGACTGGCCGCGGGCGGCGCGGAAGCGCAAACGCAAATTTGAACAAGTGGTTGATCGATCTTCTTTTACTGGGGACTGCTCGGGGCGAGCGACCCAGGAAACTTACAAGCAAGCTCTACGCGCCACCAGGCTGAATCCCGAGCCGCGCTTCCAGCAACACACCCACCCGGCCCCGACAAGCCGCCCGAAGGACACCACTCCCTCGGGCGACCTCCCGCCCCCACGCACGCCACGGCGGGGGACCGTGACCATGGGAATACTGGGTGGGGATCCTCCATTTTGCCCCCCGCGCAGGGGACCCGCGACACCGCCCGAACCCTGGCGGGGTACCAGGCGGGCCACCGCAAAGGTGTCGCAGACATGGCGGCGATGATGTGCAGGCTTTAATTCCCCAGAGCGCCGCGCGCGCGTGCTGCACCAGCGTACCGGCCCTCGCCCTGGGGCGAGGGGGGAGGGACGGGGGGGGGATCGTGAGAGGAGAGGGGGAGGACAGGGGAGGGGGAGGGGGGGGAGGGTCCGCAGGGAGCGGGCACGTGCGCCAGGTACTTGCCCCATTGCCAGAGCCATACTTGGAACAATGGCACGCGTGCCGCTTGCCCAGGAGATCGACAGCAATGCGCCCCAAGTGGGTGCGCCACGACCAGACCAGACAAAACCAGGAGGAGCAGGAGGAGGAGGAGGAGGAGGAGGAGGAGGAGGAGGAGAAGGAGGAGAGAGAGGGGGGAGGGATGGAGGCAGGAGAGGGGAGGGAGGGAGCAGGGAGGAGGTGGCTGGAGGTGGAGGCTGGGAGGAGGAGGTGGTGTGGAGGAGGAGGAGGAGGAGGAGGAGGGAGGAGGAGGAGGAGGAGGAGGAGGAGGAGGAGGAGGAAGCGGGGAGGAAGAGGAAGAGGGAAAGAGGGAGGGAGGAGAGGGAGGGAGGAAGAGGAGAGGAGGAGATGGCTGGGAGGGGGAGGCTGGGAGGAGGAGCTTGCGTTGAGGAGGAAGAGGAGGAGCAGGAGGAGGAGGAGGAGGAGGAGAAGGAGGAGGCCAGACCCATCCGACGGGCCTGCCTTTCAGCCGGGAACCCCATGTTGGGAAGGAGTTACCTTGCATCCTGCTCGTGAGTTAGGAGGAATGCGAACGCTTCGGGCCAAGTTCAGCGAATTGCCCAGCGAGGTCTGCCCCTTATGAGCGTGGTTGCTACAAGTTTGAACACCTGTCCATGACCTGTGAAGACCCCATTTTGAATGGGAGTCGCCATCGATCCGTGCAGCTGTTGCATGTTTCTTTGGGGCCGTCTCGAGCGAACGCCGCCTGCTGAACACCAGACGCCCTCCGAACTTGTCTGACGATTGTGCGCGGCGCTGAGGCGAGAGCCGCATCCATCCTTGTAAGTATTGTATGGTCTGATGACAAGATGCGCGGCGCTGAGGTGGGAGCCCCATTCAAAAACGCACCTCCCTTCATCATCGCGACAGTTGCAAGCGTGTAAGCCATCTGTTCGCGCTGCTGAGGCGAGGGCCCCATTCTGAAGTGCGCCCACCTTCCATCCTTGTAGATGTCGCAAGCTTTTAACACGACTGCGCGGCGCCGGAAGAGTCATCTGCAACGGAAAAGGATGGAGGATGAGGGTGAGGAGAGGGGGGAGGGGGAGGAGGCTTGGAGGAGTTTCGGAGGTGGCTGAAGGGAATTGGGATGAGGGTGGGAGGAGGGCAGGGGGGGGGGAGCAGGGAGGCAGGATAGGACGGAAAGTTTGGAGGGGTGGAGAAAAGGAGGGAGGAGAAAGCGGGAAGATGTGGGAGGCGGAGGAGGAGGAGGAGGAGGAGGAGGAGGAGGAGGAGGAGGAGGAGGAGGAGGAGGAGGAGGAGGAGGAGGAGGAGGAGGAGGAGGAGGAGGAGGAGGAGGAGGAGGAGGAGGAGGAGGAGGAGAGGAGGAGGAGAGGAGGAGGAGGAGGAGGAGGAGGAGGAGGAGGAGGAGGAGGAGGAGGAGGAGGAGGAGGAGGAGGAAGGGGGTCACGAGCAGGATCGGCAGGAGCAGGAGCAGGAGGCCCGAGAGGCCATCTACAGAGACCAGAGGAAGAGCAGGGGCGCCATGCCGAACTTCGTCGCCCTGACCTCGAAGCAGGACGACCTCTGCCCGGGGCCGGGCTTCCCTGATTCGGCCCGTGCCTCCCTGCGGGCGGTGGTGGCGACGTCGACGACGACAGCGGCAACAGTGACGACGGCGACGACGACTTCTTACGACTTCGACGACGACGACGACGACAACGGAACCACGACGACGATGACAGGGACGCCGGCGAAGACGACGACGCTCACAACGATGAGGACGTTGACGCTGACGACGACGAAAGGCACGACGACGACACCCGCAACAACGACGACGGCGAGGCCGACAAGACGACGAAGCGTTCGGAGGTCCGCGCGGATTTCTTTTATCGGCATTGGACCTCCTCTGGCCACAGCGATCCCTGCCGACCTCCGAAAGTTCATGTTCATGCTTTTTTGTTGTTCTTCGGTGTTCCTCCTTCCGCCCACCCCCCGTCTCAGGGGCAACGTTCGGGGGGATAGGAGCAGGGGGGAAACGCATCAACCTCCGGTTGCCCATTCACCGCCGATAGGGACCAGATATCCCACCTCGCCCAGCAGTGTTCCAAGACACTGGGAGGACGTCCCACTGCGAGAGCGCGATGTCTGCATGAATTGTACTGGGAGCCGTTGTTGTTGTTGTTGTTGTTGTTGTTGTTGTTGTTGTTGTTGTAGTTCGGGGGCCACTGGGCCAATCTGAGAGCCTAAAGATTTCCCTCTAGTAAACAGCAGGGTGCGAGCCCCGGGACGGGCACGTCAATTGATCCACTCTCATGGGCACCGGACGGGGGATCAACAATAGGCATGTTTGAGAAATAGAATTTCAACAACAACAACCACGAAGCAACTCATTTCAAGCCTGTTCGCTTCCAGATGCTCGCGTGCCATCCCCCGAATCCTCGATGCCCGCCCCTCTCTTCTTCTTCTTCTTCTTCTTCTTATTATTATTATTATTATCATTTTTATCATTATTAGTATTATTATTATCATTATCATTATCATTAGTATTATTATTATTATCATTATTATCATTATTAATATTATGATTATTCTTCTTTGTTGTACCTCCTCTGGGGGTATCTTTTCCTTCCCTGCCACGTGCAATTGGCATATCCCTTAAATGGAAGAGCAGAAATAATGGAAAAGGAGGAGAGCGAGGAGGAAGGGAGTGGAGGAGTAGAGGAAGGAGGGAAGGGTTGCAAGAGGGAGGGATGGAGAAGATGGAGGACGAGAGGGATAAGCAAGAGGGATTAGCAAGAGGAAATTGCAAAGAAGTCTCAGGCGAGAGCGCGGTTCCGGAGTAAATTATGGGGAAGCCCCGAGCGAGACCGTGGTTCCAGAGCGCCTACAGCGGTTCGTGATGGTATTGCAAGGAAGTCTCAGGCGAGATCGCGATTCCTGGATAGATTGCAAGGGCTCCCCTAGCGAAAACCAGATATCCCAATACATTGTGAGGAAGTATCCGGCGGGAGCCGTTGTTGTTGTTCGTGGGCCAGGGGTCCACTTTGAGCCGCAATATCTTCCCTTGTAAAAAAAAACGGGTGCGAGTCCCCCGAGGGGCACCTCAATCGAGAAACCACAAGGTGCAGCGGAGGGGGGGATCAACCAAATGCATTCTGTAGAAACTAGGATTTGAGCCCATCAACAATACCACCACCAACACCACCAACACCACCAACACCAGCACGCAAGTTTTGGCTCCGGCGACCTCCGTCTGGAGTCCGGATGAGCCCGCCAGTAGCAAAGCCACGGACCCGCAGGGCCCGCGGCGACGTCGGGGTGCCTGGCTGGCACGCTGCCGTCGTGGTCGCACCCCTGCTGGAGGCTGGGTCCGTCCAGCGCGGCGCCCCACCTGACGAGGAGCTCGTCGTGGTTCAGCGCGGCGCCCCACCCGACGAGGAGCTCGTCGTGGTTCAGCGCGGCGCCCCACCCGACGAGGAGCTCGTCGTGGTTCAGCGCGGCGCCCCACCTGAAGAGGAGCTCGTCGTGGTTCAGCGCGGCGCCCCACCTGAAGAGGAGCTCGTCGTGGCTCCTCAGGCGGCGTGCTCCCGTGGGCCAGGAGAGCCCCCCTCTGCAGTGCGCCCTGGGGCCCGGCGCCGGGCCGCAGCGCCGCCGGGGCCGGTCGCGGGCACTGCCGCGCGCGAGGTGCCTGCAGCGCACCTGCTGCGCACTGGCGCCGCGGGCAGCCTCCCCCGCCCGGGGCCTCCTGCGATCGCCGCGCGCACCACGGCTGACGCTGGTCGATGCGGTCAAGATCCGCGTCGCGGCCCCGGGCGTCGCCTCTGCAGAAGCGCCGGGTGGCCTTCACCCGCCTGCTGTCGCAGGAGGCCGCGGCGGTGCCGTTGTCCCTGGCGCAGGCGGCCTCGCGCCTCCTGCCGTTCACGGGCAGGTCGAAACTGTGGAGCCGCAACCCCTGCCGGAGGGTATGGCCGACCGCCTTGGGCCCCGTGCAGTTGCCGCTCCGCTTGTCGAGGGAGAAGCGGAGGTCGCTGTTGTGCCTGCGGGCCCAGGTCCATGGCTCCTGGGCTGGTGTCCAGCCCGATCGGGCCAGAAGCTTGCGCACGTCGCCGGCGAAGCCCCTTCCCGTGTCCCAGGGCACCTCGGCCGGGAAGTCGCTGAGGTCGCTCTTTTTCCTTGCTGCCCACGCGTGCCAGCGCCTTTTTGCGCCCTGGACGGTCCGGTACCGAGAGGGTCGAGCGGGTGCCCTCGTACGAGGCGCCTCGCTGGCGGCGCGCTCTGCCTGGGCGGCGTGGTGGTGCGGTCCACCGCACTCCGAAGCCTGCTGGCCTTTCCAGGGGGAATTGGGCTGTTCTGGCCACCCGCAGGCTGCGTTGGACAGGGGCCCCGTGGCGAGGGTCAGGCCTCGCGCATGGTTCCCGTGGGGCAGGGATCTGGCCTTGACGATCATGGCGTCCGCCTCTCTGATGCGTCTGGCTTCGAAGCCGGCCAGCGGCCGGCGCCTGCCCCGAGGACCTCGGCATGATCCTTGATGGCAGTGGTCTCGGCGCCTCTGTCCGCGCATGGCCCGCCGATCCTTGGGGCTCCTGTGCACCCACTGCGTCTTCGTCTGCTGTTCGTGCAGGCCGAGGACTGCCGATCACGTGGCCCAGGCGTCCCCCACCGAGAGCGTCGTCGTGAGGTCCATGTGCTCCCCGGTCCTGCCGTCCACTCGTCCACGCACGGCCGGAGCCCGACCCTGGGGCAACTCCGCCGGATGTCCCGTGCCGGCGCCGCCAGCACGGCGCCGAGCGCCAGCGGGACCAAGGGCCCCCCTGGGGAAGGGATGTGGTCACGTGCTGCTCCTGCCTCAGGGTTTCAGCCGGGCCTGTCCCTCTACAGGAGACATATTCAAAAATAGTCAAAACATAGTCTGGGGACGATTTTTTGAGTATTTTTGGACCTTTTTTATATTTGTTTGACTAGTTTAGTTTGTCCTAGAACATCCCCCTGTAGGGGGACAGGCCCGACTGAACTCAAGGGTGCTGCTGCCCAGCTGCAGGTACAGTCGGGCCGTTGAAAGAAGGAACGCTAAATAAGGAACGAAGCCCCTTCTTGGCCCAGGAGGACAAGAGGAACAGCACTGGAGGAACCTAAGGAACATCGAGCCCCTTCCGAACCCAAACTGGTCCTTATTTCAGCGTCTTGACCTTAGTGGGCCCAGGAAACGACAGGGCCGTTTTTTCACCGGTTCCGTTTTGCTGTTTTTTTGCCGGCTCCGACGCCGATTTTTACCGGTTCCGTCGCCGTTTTTTGACCAGTGCTGGCTCCAGTTCCAGTCCTGGAGCCGTTTTTTTGCCGTTTCCGGTCGCCGTTTTTTTTTGTCGCTTCCATGTTCAAGGAGCATATTTTGGAAATGGTGAAAAAACGGCCCTGCTGTTTCTGGGGCCCACTATAAGGTCTTGACTGTGCCTCGTCCGGTCCACCCGGGAAGTCCGGGTACCCCGACGTGCCCGGCCAGCACCATCCTTTGAAGTCCTGACGAGCCCCCCGTAACACGAAGGCAGGACAAAGACCAAATCGGGTTGGGACGGTTCGGAAATCTCGGGGAGCTGGCGGGTCTGGAGGATGTGTCGGGTACCGCAGTCGTTCCAGAGCATTCTGAGGCGCTCTGAGATCGCTCCAGGACGCTCTCGAAAGGTTCATCCTCATCATCGGTTCCTTGTTTCAGCGTCTTGACTGTGCCTCGTCCGGTCCACCCACGCCCCGCCCACCACGTGGGCCAGGCGGGACGGCATGCCGAGCCGCGTCGTGCGCACGCTGCGCTGCGCGAGGGCGCGTGCTGTCGAGGGCCAGGGAGCGGTCCCTGCCAGGAGGGAAAGAAGCACACAGACACAAGTAATCGTCGACTCCCCAGGAAAATATGGGAAATGGGGGGGGGGGGGAAGACGAAAAGTAATCGTCGACTCCCCAGGAATGTCTACGAAAAGTCCCTGCAGCAGGGAAAGAAGCACACAGAAACAAGTAATCGTCGACTCCCCAGGAACATATGCGAAAATATGGGAAGTGGGTGGGAAGACGCAAACCCAGACAATAGGTGAACATATGGGGAATCCAATAGGGGGACAGGCCCGATTTACCTCAAGGGTGCTGCTGCCCAGCTGCAGGTGCCTCGTCTGGTCCACCCGCGCCCCGCCCACCACGTGGGCCAGGCGGGGCGGCATGCCGAGCCGAGTCGTGCGCACGCTGCGCTGCGCGAGGGCGCGGTGTTGTCGAGGGAAAGACACACACACAGACACAAGTAATCGTCGACCCCCCAGGAAGATGTGCGAAACTATGGGAAGTGTGGGGGGGGAAGACGAAAACCCAGAAAACATGTGAAAATAGGGGGAGTCCAGTTATTGGTGTCCATTTGTTTGTGTGTCCCAGGGCCCCCTCATCCCTGCTCGCCACGCAGTGCCGCATGCTCGCCGCCACGGCGCACGCCAGGGCTGCCTGGCAGGCCTCGCAGGCCCCCGCGGGCGCTCACCATCGAGTCCTCCATCCACTGCTCCGGCCACCTCCGGCAGCCCTCTGAGCGGACGCGTGCGGACGCCCACGCGCGGCACCGATCGGCCGCAGATCTGCGGCGTGGCTGCTGCCGTCGCCGCCGGCCATCGCCTTGGACAAGTGCGCCTGCCGCATGCGGCGCCAGCATGCCGGGAGGCAGGCTGCCCCCCCGAACTCCCGTAAGGTGGGGGCGAGGGCGTTGCTGCAGCGTTCCGCGTCGAGGAGCTCGTCGCCCGTCCACCCATCGGGCCCTGCCGAGGCGCCCGCCCGTCGGCGAAGCGCCTCGCATGCCTCGTGCTCTGCCAGGTCGTGCCAGCGCAGCTCGGGCACCTGCGGGGGAGGTGCCTGTCCAGCTCGCTGCGCCACTGCTCCGCCAGGGGGAGCTCCCTCCGCCGGACCTCCTGCCGCCTCCCGGCGAGGAGCTGCAGGCCCCGGCAGGTGCCCGTGGCGTGCTCGTCGTCGCCCTTGCTGGTGGCATCCTGCGGCGGCGTCCCTGCGAGCCATTGGGAAGGTGCCCTCCTGGCCGCCCAGGAGCCTGGCCTTCAGTCGGGCCTGTCCCCCTACAGGGGGATTTTCGACGAAAAATAGAAATACCCCCCCCCAAAAAACAAAAATAGTCCAAAAACAGTTTGGCGACTATTTGTTTAGTATTCTTTGACCTTTTTGTTGTATTTTTGGGGTACTTTTATATTTTTCGTCGAAACTCCCCCTGTAGGGGGACAGGCCCGACCTAAGCCTGGCCTCTCCTCCCGCCTCTCGCGGCCTCGAAGGTCGCCCCGCTTCTTCTCTCCAGCGCGCCGCGCCGGCGGTGCGCCCGAGAGCCCAGAGCCGCGCGGCCGAGGCCCACGGAGAGGGGCCGCTGGGCATGCCGGCGTCCTCGCCGAGCTCGGCGCGAGGTGCTTGGCCTCCTGCAGGCCTACGTCGGGCCTGTCCCCCATGCAGGGGGATTTTCGACGAAAAATTCAAGATTCCCCCAAAATAGTCCAAAAATAGTCTGGGGACTATTGCGAAGGCCTTACGGCCGGTGCCGCCGACCCTGAATGGCGACGACGACGACGACGACGACGACGACGACGACGACGACGACGACGACGACGACGACGACGACGACGACGACGACGACGACGACGACGAGCGCTCTTGGGGGCCTCTTGGGGGTAGTTTGTGGGCCTCTGGGGAAGCTCTCAGGGGCCGCTTGGAAGCCTCGTGGGGGCCTCTTGGGGCTTCCTGGGGGTCTCTTGGAGGGGGCCTGGGACGTCTTGGAGGCTTCTTGGACGGTCTTGGGGCTATCTTGGGCGTTTTCGGCCGATCTTTGGGCGACTCGGGGCCCTCTTGGGCCGTCTCGGGGGCCATCTTGGGCATTCGGACCTCATTTGGAGTGTTTTCGAGGTTTCTAGGCCGCCCGAGGAAAAACGAATCTGCCCCCCCCCCCCCACCTCCCCCGGGACCCCCCCCGGGACCCCCCCCCCCCTGGGGAAGGGATCAAAGGGAAGGGGCTTCCCTTCGACTCGATTACGACACTGCTAGATTTTTCTCTCGCTCACGAGCTTGAGAAGGAAGCTGCAGGGAAAGGGGACGACGGAGGCGACGACCGACGGAGACGACGACTCGAACAGCCAAGCCCCTCGCACACGCCGACTGGGGACTATTTATTTTAGTATTTTGTGACCATTTGGGGGCATTTTGGGGGTATCTTTTATCTTTCGTCGGAAGTCCCCCTGTAGGGGGACAGGCCCGACCTAACTGGAGGCCTTTCCCGCGCGGCTCCAGCCGGAGGAGCCGGCGGACCTTCGAGGAGGAGGAGGAGGAGGAGGAGGAGGAGGAGGACGAGGAGGAGGAGGAGGAGGAGGAGGAGGAGGAGGAGGACGAGGAGGACGAGGAGGAGGAGTCCTTGCCGAGCTTGGTGCGAGGTTCTTGGCCTCCTGTAGGCCTTTCCCGCGCTGCTCCAGCCTGAGGAGCCGGCGGGCCCTTCGAGAAGAGCGAGGTCGCCGCCTTCCGCTCCACGGCACGAGTGCCTCACGGCGCCCGTGCCCTGGGTGCGGGGGATCTCGACGAGGTCGAAGGTGCCCTCCTCCTCCGCCGCCCCCTCCGCCGCCTCCTCCTCCGCCTCCTCCTCCGCCTCCTCCTCCGCCTCCTCCTCCTCCGCCTCCTCCTCCTGCTCCGCCTCTTCCTTATCCTCCTCCGCCTCCTCCTCCTCCTCCTCCTCATCATCATCGTCATCATCATCATCATCACCACCATCATCATCATCATCATCACCATCATCACCATCATCATCATCATCGTCAGCAGCAGCAGCATCATCATCATCATCATCATCATCATCATCATCATCATCATCATCATCATCATCATCATCGTCATCGTCATCATCATCATCGTCATCGTCATCGTCAGCATCATCATCATCAACATCAACATCAGCATCATCAGCATCATCAGCAGCATCAGCAACATCATCATCAGCATCAGCATCATCATCATCACCATCATCATCAGCATCATCATCAGCATCATCAGCATCATCATCATCATCAACAGCATCATCATCACCATCATTGTCATCATCATCACTGCCATCCTCCTTGCTCCTCCCTCCCCTCCTTCCCTTCTCCTCCTGTCTCTCCCTCCTCCCTTTGTTCTCTCTCATGAGCCGCACGGCCACCCCCGCATGGCTCCGCCGCCCTCGGGCGGCGCCAGGAGAACCAGGGGGTGGACAACCCGGACGACTTCCACGAGAGGCTCCAGGAGAGACGAATGGAGGAGAAGGCCAAAGGGGCGGGGAGTTGGAGGGGGAGGGGGACTTTGAGATCCGGGCGTCGGAATTTTATCACACCGGACGTTTTCGCCCGACTTCGGGCTCTGGGACCATCACTGATCGATCCTCTTCGAAAAGTGCTGCAGAAAGATAGGCTGTAGGGCTCTGGTCGCGATTTTTCGCGATGTCACATATTTTGTTTGCAGCAGCATCGGATCTCAAGGGTGGAGCAAGAGGGGGAGGGGGAGGGAAAGCGGGAGAGGGGGGGAGTGGGGAATGGGGGAGGAGGAGGAGGAGGAGGAGGAGGAGGAGGAGGAGGAGGAGGAGGAGGAGGAGGAGGAGTGAGGAGGAGGAGGAGGAGGAAGAGGAGGAGGGGGAGAGAGAAGGAGGAGGAAAGAGGAGGAGGAGGAGGACGAGGACGAGGAGGAGGAGGGGGAGGAGGAGGAGCACCGAGGAGGGAGGAGGAAGAGGAGGCGGAGGAGGAGGAGGAGGAGGAGGAGGAGGAGGAGGAGGAGGTTGGTCGGGATGCTCCCGTTGAGCTGGCATTCGGAAGCTTCGGACGCAGCGGCAATTCTCTTCTAGTATGGGGCCACAGACATATGGGAAGGCTCGGAAGCGTTCGTGCTGCCACGGCCTTGGAAGCCAACCTGCCTGCGTTGAAGGAGACGAGAGGGGGGAGTTGCGGGAGCACTTACCTCAGCTCGAGCAGGCTCCTCCGCTCCATCTCCAGCCACCAGCGAGGCAGGAGAGGCAGCTCAGGGGCTCACCACGGAGTATGTGGAGGGGGATCAGGCAGGGAGCGCGCCCGGGGCTCGTGCGATCCCACCAACACTGCCTGGTCGTTGCACGTCGCAGGTACGAGACGGTGACAGGAAGGGGGAGGGAGGCACCCCAGGAGGAGGGGAGGAGGGACGAGGAAGAGTGGACGAGAAGCCTGTCGGACAGGACCCGCCCACCCCGCGAGCCGGGCAGAGGGGAGCGGAGGACGGGTGGCAGAGGGCGGGGGGAGGGAAGACCTGCCATTGGGGACGGGCCTACATCCGAAGCGGTTGCCAAAACTGCTCGACCCCATCGGCGGCGCCATGCGGGCCTCGGTGCCTGAAGTCGGAGCTTGCGGCGGGTACACCCTGACCGAACAGGATCGGGCACCCCGACCAGCGCGGCACATCCCTCACCACATCACTGCCGTCGGCTTGCTGGCTGTTCTTGTTGCGTCTAGGGGGGCTCAGCAGTGGCGTACGGTCAGCTGTTGCGATGCAAGGCGAATCGGCGCTCGCTCAGCCGCGCGCGCACCCCCCACGAGTGTTTCCAGGACGAGCCCGCAGAGCACGGTGCGGAAAGCAACGAATGGGCTCATGCCCATCGCCAAGCATCGCGAACGACCCGGCGGCCAACACAAGGTGGGAAGAGACGCCCAGCGACACGGCGGATGCTCACCTCCGGCCCTCTTCCTGGCGCCAGGCTGCGGACCAGGCGGGAGGCATTCCTGCAGGCAAGGCGTCGAAAGAAGGACCGCTCTGGGCTCAGGACCGGGAGCCTGCTCGGGGCCGAGGCTCGCCGTGGCCGGAGGTGCCCTGGCCGGCCTCCGGCTGGCCCTCCTGCTGCAGGGGGGCCGTGGCGCCTCGAGGCGCCCTGGCCGGCCAAACCCGCCTGCTGTGCCGCAGGCGCCCCCTCGGCCTCCTGCCCAGAGCGTTCGCCCTGGGCCCTGCCTTCGGCAGCCGCCCGCAGGCCCGGCAGCGCCGGGCCTCCGCCCCACCGCCGGTCGGCGGCCGCCCGCATCTGGCGCCCAGCGTCCTCCCGGAGTCCGCGCTCCTGCGCCTTGAGCTCGCGCTCGGTCTCGCACGTGTTCTCGGCCTCCTTGAGCTAAGGGCGCCCTCGAGGGCGCGAAGCGACTCTCGCTTCGCAGTTCGGCTCCGATTCCTACTCATCCTCCTTTTCTCCCCTGGGGGGGGGGCAAGAGCGCGAAGCTGTTCGCGCTCCACGCCTCGCGCTTCGCGCTGCGCGGCGCGCGAAGTTCGGCGCCCTTGTGGAGCTCTTGTGCGGCCTCGGCCTTCCGCCTGCGCTCCGCAGCCGCGGTGCTGCTCCGCCTCCAGCCCGCGCGCTCAGCGCCGGCCGCGGGCCGTGAGCAGCGCCTCGGCTTCCGCCGCCGCCCGCCAGCTCCGCGCCGCGCGCCCGGCGGCCGCCCTGCCCTCTGGGCCCCCGCCACGAGCTCCAGGGCGGCCGCTCGCGGCCGCGGCCGCCCGAGCCCGGCGCTGGCCCCCGGCCGCTCGAGAGCAGCTCCGAGGCTCCGGCGTGGCCAGACCTGGAGGGGGATGCGCCACCGCGCGCCTCGCCCTGCTGGTCTCGCTGGGCCTCCTGGCCAGCCGCCGCTGGCGGCGCCGCACCAGCCCGCACCAGCTCGCCGGCCCGCCGAGGGGCGCGCCCTCTGCTGGCCCGTGCCCGCGGGCGGGGGCCGGGGCGGGGAGGACGGCGACGAGCGCGGACGGACTGCGCGCTTGGAGCTCGGCGCGAGCCGCGTGGGGCCTCCCCCCCCCCCCGGCTTGAAGGTCGCCCTCAGGGCGCCTCGTCTCTGCCCCGTCCCCTCTCTCTGCCCCCTCGCCGCCCCCTCCTCTTCGGCCCTGGTGTGGGGGGGGTGCTCTCCAGAGGCCCTCCAGAGGCCGCGGGGGGCCTCTCTCCGCCCTTCCCCTGTCGGCCCTCCCCTCCGTCGCCCCCGCTCCTCCTCCCCGCCTCCCTCCCTGCCCTCCTCCTCGCCTCTTCGTGCCGCCCGCTCCGCGTTCCCCCTCTCCTCGGGGGTCGCCTCTCCTCTCTGGCCGTGGTGCCCCCCTGGTGTCACGCCCTCTCCCCGTGGCAGTGGCCAGGGGCCGAGCTGGCCCACGGCGGCTCCAGTGCGGCGCGCAGACAAGTCCGCAGTCGCAGGGGGAGGGGAAGGAGGTCGAGGAAGCGCAGACATGCATCGAGGCGCGTGGATTCGCGGTGGGTCCCGCTTCTGTGCAGAACCACCAGCGTGCACCGTCGCCAAACCAGCACTCCCGCCATTATTCGAGCGTTGCGTTCCCCGATCCATGGTTCCGGCGCCCGCCCGCCCCCCCACAGAAAATGACGTCCCAAATAGACGTCCTCCTCCCTCCTCATCCCTCCTCCTCGTCGTCCTCCTCTTCCCTCCTCTTCCCTCCTCCTCCTCCTCCTCCTCCTCCTCCTCCTCCTCCTCCTCCTCCTCCTCCTCCTATTGTTTCCTCCTCCTCCTCCTCTTCTCTCCTCCTCCTGTTTCCTCCTCCGCTCCCCCTATCCTCATCGTCATCATCATCATCATCACATCATCATCATCATCATCATCATCATCATCATCATCATCATATCATCAATCATATCATCATCAATCATCAATCAATCAATCATCATCATCATCATCATCATCATCATCATCATCATCATCATCATCATCATCATCATCATCATCATCATCATCATCATCATCATCATCATCATCTTTCCTCCTCCTCTTTCCTCCTCCTCCTCCTCCTCCTCCTCCTCCTCCTCCTCCGCCTTCGAGGGGTGCGCGCCAGATCCACGGAACCGCAGTCCATGTCACCGTGCGCCCGAAGCGGGAGAGCCCAGTCACACAGGGAGGCACCGCCGCGCTTCGCCGAGGCCAAGCGCGTCGCCGAGGGCGGCCGGGCCGGGGGCTTCAACGAGCGTCAGGAGCCGGCGGCGGAGCGGGCGCCAGGGAGCGGCGGGAGCGGGAGACGCAGGGGGATCAGGAGAGGAGGAGGAGGAGGAGGAGGAGGAGGAGGAGGAGGAGGAGGAAGGAGGAAGGAGGAAGGAGGAAGGAGGAAGGAGGAAGGAGAAGGAGGAAGGAGGAGGAGGAAGGAGGAAGGAGGAAGAGGAAGGAGGAAGAGGAGGAGGAGGAGGAGGAGGAGGAGGAGGAGGAGGAGGAGGAGGAGGAGGAGGAGGAGGAGGAGCACGATGGGCATAAAGAGCAGGAAGGCCAGGAGGAACTTGTGTCCATCCAGAAAATGAGCGGGGGGATTGAGGCGGCACGGGGCGGAGGTGAGGGATGGAGGGGCGGAAAGGGATGACGAGGAGGGAGGAAGGGACAGGCGGATGGAAGAGGGGGAGAAAGGGAGGGGGACGCGGAGGAGGAGGAGGAGGAGGAGGAGGAGGAGGAGGAGGAGGAGGAGGAGGAGGAGGAGGAGGAGGAGGAGGAGGAGGAAAGTGTGGGCTGCCACAATGAGGAAATTATTTTCCGAGACTTTTGTGGCTAGGGCCCCATGCTGCATCGCAGATCCATTTTCGAAGCAGGGGATGGGGCAGCTCAGTGCCCACGGACGGAGTGCAACGTTGCAAACGTCGGAGCACACTACACGGTGGTAGTCGCGTTCGTGACGTCTACCATCGTCGCTGCGGCGACGGAGGTCAGCATCGGGTGCTCTCATGTTCTCAGGACGATGCTGGCCCCGGTTGCCCGCCTGCCACACTGCGTATCGCGAGGCCGGCAGGTGCTGCGCACTCGCGACCAAGGCGCGGACCTTCGGCACGGTGCGCGGCTGCCGGCGGCGCCGGGATCCGCTGCGGCGGGCGGCGCGAGGTGATGGAAGGCGGCCGCGGCAGGCAGAGCTGGAGAGGGGTGCTCCGGGTGCCCGATCGGGGGCGGCGATGACTCTGCTCGCAGAGAGTGCGACGCTGCCAGTGCAGGCGCGCCGAGCCCGCAGCTTCGTTTCGGCCCCCCGGCCCCCATCCCCCCTATCCTCTGCCATCCCTCCTCCTGCTCATTCCTCCCCTCTCCTGCTGATTAGCTTCATCCTCTTCCTCCTCTTCCTCCCCTCTCATGGTTGACTGTCACGCTGTTGTGCGCATCGCGGCACGACCAAATGAAGCACGTCGGAACGCACGGTCCAGGCTGATTCTCAAGCTGGCCAGGATGCTGCGGCTGCGATGTACGAGGAGGAGGAGGAGGAGGAGGAGGAGGAGGAGGAGGAGGAAGAGGCAGAGGCAGAGGATAAGGTGGATGAGGAGTGGGTGGAGGTGGTGGAGGAGCAGTGGGTGGATCCGGTGGAGGAGGCGGTGGAAGTGATGGAATGGATGAGGACTGGTTGGTGGAGATCTGGAGGGCGCGCGACGGTCGCGCCTATGACCGTTTTGGCTCTAGCCTAGCCGCCCTTTGCAGACTCCACCAGTGCAGGCAGTGCCTCTTCCTCCGCGGCGGCCACTGGCCCAAAGCCCCAGGAGACGCCGCGCGGGGATTCTCCAAGTGTTCCGCACCTGCCTGTGCGCGGCCCCTCGTCTTTTGCCAAGTCGTCGGCAGCGGGGCCGCACGCGCGCGCGCGCGAGTGCCTTCCGTTCAGGTGGGAGCGCGTGCGGGTCCAGACCCCCAGCTGCGCCATCACTGGTGCGGGAGGGAGGGTCTCAGTGGGTGGGGCTTTCTGGCTCGTTCCTTGCGGGTCCTTGCGTGATCCCCTCCCTCCTCCTCATCCTCCTCCTCCTCCTCCTTCCCCTCCTCCTCCTCCTCTTCCTCCTCCTCCTCCTCCTCCTCCTCCTCCTCCTCCTCCTCTCCTCCTCCTCGTAACAGATTCAGTTTTTCACAGACTGTGGGAATGTTTGGTTTGTGCAGAGCAGCGCCAGGATTTAGTTGGGCAGTCTATGATAGATAAGGCCTTCGAGGCCAAGGAAGCTGGTTCCCTGGATTTGGTCGTCTTTACTTCTGGAGCTTTTCCTCATCCAGGTGACCATGCCCCAGGTCCGATCAAGCAGCACGGCATGGATGAAGTGGTTCTGGAATATTTCGAGGACGGTTTCAAGGGAGCGGGTTTAGAATTCTCGGGGGCTGATGACCTTCGATTTGCAAAGCACGTTTTCCTGGATGGCAGTTGTTTCAAGTCGGCTGTTGAGGAACTTTCGCGTTCAGGTTGGGCTTTCGTCAGAGTCGCCGACAACGGCGAACCCTTAGGTTGTGGTGCTATGGCCCAGTGTTTGGCCACCTCCCGCAGACTCCTCAGGCAGGGGAATTCTCTGCACTGGCAGCTGCTGGAGTGAACCTCGACGGCCCAGCGTGCATTTATTCTGACTGTGCGAGTGTGGTTTCTGTGTGTTCTCGGGATCCCGTGGACCGTTTGTCCGGGAAGCGAGCCTATGCAGGCTCTGTCCTCGAGTGTTTTTCGGGCGCCTCGGGAAAAGTCCAGGACGTTATCAAGGTCGCGGCTCACAAGGATGTTGACGACCCAGCTATAACTGATGTTGAACGTTTCCGACGGAAGGGCAACTTCCACGCCGACCGCTCCCACGAGTGGGAGTGGGTGAGCTCGTTTTGGCAGTGTCGAATTTGCCTCTGAGGAAAGCGCGGCGCTGATCGCCCGCCGCCCGGCCGTTGTGCTAAGCCTCCTCGGTTGAACATTGATTTGATTTCAGGTAATAACCACCAGTGTGCTCTGATAGATTGCACAGATGGCTCATTTTTATGTATCTGTCTCAAATGCCACCACTACAGCACAGGTGGCAGAATTGTGCACCTGGCCAAGCCCTGTCTCCCAGATGAAGGCGGAGCTGGGCGCACAAACTGGAAGTATGTTTGTTCTGGCCGTCACCCACAGGAAAAGAAACGGATTCGCAATGTCCAGTTTCTTCCTTCGCCGTGGACTGTCGGCGCCTCCATCTCGCCTGTTCAGGCTTTGTCTGCCGACGCCGATGCAGCTTCTGAGGTGGAGGTGGTGGGAGATGTCCAGCACGAGAGGCCTATGCTCGCTCCATCTCCTTTGAGGGGAGGCGAAAGTGGCCTCTCGAGTGGTGCTGTTTGTAATTTCGATGCCGAGGAGGAAGCCTCCCTTTTCCTCTTCTCCCCGGCGGGCTCCGCAGCCGCTGCAGCGGTGCCCGGATCGTCCAGTTCCGTTCTCAGGAGTGTGGCCGATTCTTTCAGACAGGAAGAAGACGAGCAGCCTGTAATTGTTGCTCGTGCTGACTCTGCCCAAGACGAGTCAGACTGAAGACCCCCCTCGGGAGGGGCATGTAGCCGTAGATGTGAAAAACATCCTCCTCCTCCCCCTGCTCCTCCTCCTCCTCCTCCTCCTCCTCCTCCTCCTCCTCCTCCTCCTCCTCCTCCCCCTGCTCCTCCCTGCCCTCTCCCCTCGCTTCCCCCGCGCCCTCACAGGTCCACTCCCCAGCGCCTGCCCCGCACCCGCCCCGGGCCCGTCTGGGTTTTGAAACTCGGGGCAGTTCTGGTTCGGAGGAGGCTCGCTGTGCTCTGCGTGAGTCCTTCCATGGCTGTTCCGCTGGGGCTTCTCGTGCGCCCAGGCGCTTTCGGGGCCTCGCTTGGACTCGGCCCCTTGCCTTTTAGCGTTTCTCACGGCAGCACGACGGCTGTAGTCCTCTCCTTCCGTCCCCTCGCCTCCCACTTCCCTCCCTCGAGGAACAGAGATTGCGCAAGCACAATTTCTCGGAGGTCCGCGCCGATCTCTTGGATCGGCGTTCTGGACCCCCTGGCGGCACTTCTGCTGCCGCCCCTGGCGCGCTCCGACCCGTGCAATCCGCGCGGACCTCCGACAGATGTACCTATGCTCACGCCGTTTTGTTGTTCCTCGCTTCCCCGCCGCCCCCCGCGGCGCCCGTCCTGAGCCCCCTCCCAGCGAGGAGGTGGGCCCCCGGAAGGAGGTGGGCAACGAGAAGACGGGCGGCGTGGACGACTTCGGCAGGAGAGTGTCGGAGCCGGGGCAGGATGCCCGCCACTCCGCCGCGCTCCGAGGCGGGGACTTACCGATAGCCCGCCGCGTGGGAAGTCAATCTTCGGGGGCGGCGGCGGGCGGCGGATACGGATATGTCGGGGCCTCAGGGGGGCCAAATCTATCCGTATCCACTGCCCCATGGTCCTAATTATAGTAGGGCCGCGGACACTTTATGGCGAGCTTCGTTCCACATTCCACCTTGGCGTGCACAGGGTCCTTCCAGTTCATGTGAGGGCTCGTTGCGGGGTCGCCGCTCGTTCCCTAAGCTTTCCTCCTCCTCCTCCTCCTCCTCCTCCTCCTCCTTTTTTTTCCCGGTTCAACAAGCGGAATTGCTGTGTCTCGCCTACACACTGGACGGCGAAACAGAAGCAGGGAGAGGCCGAGGAGCGGAGGAGGCGACGAGGGCGAACAGGCGCGGAGGTGGCCGAAGCAGGACACTCGCCCTGAGAGGCCCGCGCGCTGGCCCGAGGAGGGGAGGGGAAGGAGTTGCTGCGGGGGGCCCGTGGAGGGTTCCCCCGCAGCTTCTCTGGGGCTCTTGCCGGGCCACTCCGGGAAGCGACGCCCCTCGGTGCACCCGAGCGGCCTCCCGGCCGTCTCGTCGGGGGCCGCCAGGGTGTGCGCAGGACGTTTCAGTTTCCACTGTAAGCAGGGCGCCTGTGCGGCCGGACACGCGGCCACGGGAGGAGGAGCAGGAGGAGAAGCAGGAGGAGCAGCAGGAGGAGAAGAAGGAGTTGGAGGAGGAGGAGGAGGACCAGTGTAAACCCAGGAGTCATCGACGATGTTGGAATAAACCCTCCCTCCAAGATCCCTCTTCATGGGCTCCTTCAACGGTTCATCTCCACCGAGAACTGCCTCGTCGGAAGACAAGCGTTTGAAGGTTGAGAAGCATGCCAACACATGGTTCTCGGGATTCCAACGCCACGTCTCAACCTGACTGTTGCGTCTTGACGAGCCTGGATCGTGCCAGGACGCTATTTCTGGGACTTCAAC